AGGGGTGGATATCATGGCGTGGGCCATGAAATTTCATCAGATGTCATGGCGCCTCTTCTCATTTCATTACGTTCCTGGCCCCCCCCCCTGGGCCGCGCACGTGCCGCCGGCCATGATTTGCGCCCCCCCCCCCCCCCCTCTTGGACGCTCCCCTCTTGGCCGCCCCCGAATCGAAGAGGATCTGGGACCACCTTGCGAGCCAAGAAGACAAACTCGCACGCACGAAATCGACAAGTGCACGTGGAATGGACGTCCGAGCGAGGGCAAGCCTAACGCCCATCTCAGCACTGCGTTTTCAAGGTCCGTGGGAGTTCGCGTGGGTGCTCCGCGGCGTGCCTGCGGCATTGGTGGCGGGCGGCCCGTTGACGTGGAGGCGGGCGGGCAGAGTCGGGAGCAGAGGCAGCGACGGACGGGCACGTCATACGAGGTCCCCAGACCTCCGACGTGGCGAGAAACTCACGACGAAGGTTCTTGGCAATTCTCGGCCTCTGGAGGCCCTCGCCGGGCCTCGGGAGCGTCAAAGAACGACTCGGGATGAAAAACCGGTCCCGGGGAAGGTCTCCAGACTTCGGGGGGCCGACGCCGTGAGTTTCTCGCGACGTCGGGGGTCTGGGCCTGGTGTGCAGGCGAGCAGCCTCACCGGCGCGAAGTCCAGACTGCAACGCAGGCGACACGGTTGCGATGGCTTGCTGGGAGAGGAAGGGGCTGGGGAGGACGACGATCACGACGGATGCGACGGCGGCCGCGACGTCAACCACCCGCGTGGTCGTGAGTGTGTTGCGTGGCAAGAGGGGCAGTCGCGGCAGGGAGGCTACGCAGTCGATCGCCAACCGTGCCATGGAGTCGAGCTCTCAGATGCGGGCGATACACTCGAAGGTGTCCATGCAAAGGCGGAGAGGGAGCCTAGTCCGCATTATTGATATCCAGTGCTTCCCAGAATCGCCACCACCATCATTGGGGTCACAGCTGCGAGCGTGTTCGTCAAGTAAATCATATGATGCACTTGATCACCCATCAGTCCATGCGCATGTTCATCCTAAGTTCCAATGTCCAATGCAGTGCAGAGCTGTTGTCTAAGTCGGCTTCAAGGGGCTTGTCGAGCGAGAGCGTTTTGGAAGAGCTCATGCTGTTGCGGCAGCGTTGCTTTCCCAGAAGGTCTGCGCCGCGATGATTGCACGGTGCCTATTTTGATGTCGTTCCGTGAGGATCAATGACTGTGCCGCCTTTCTTCAGTAGTGATCTTGGCACCGCAACGGCTTTACCTCCTGTCATCAGCGTGCACGTGTATGCGGAGCATTGATGGTGCGTATGTGTATGTGTGTATGTGGTACCCGAAGTGTCTGGCAACCATTGGGATCCAACCGCCCACCGCGGAGTGCCCCGCGCAGGGAAGCGTGGTGGCCCACGGGGAACCCTGGGGACCAGAGCACCCACCGCGGAGTGCGCCCCCGCAGGCCCGAGTGTTCTGTGGGGGGTGGGGGGCGTAGGGATCTGTATCGAACCCCGTCGGGATCTGAGCACCCGCCGCGGAGTGCGCGCAACAGGTTGTCTTTGGGTCGGCGGGGTGGGAAAGGCACAAGAATCTTCAGGCACCCATCGGTCCTCTTCCCCCTCTTCCTCTTTCCTCCTTCCCCGCCTCCGCCTCCTCCTCCTCCTCCTCCTCCTCCTCCCCCTCCTCGTCCATTCCTTCTCCTTGTAGATATCTTCTCCCTATCGCACCCCGAGGCCAGTTTTTAGGGCGGGCCGGGCATTTCGCCTGAGGCTTCCTCACGGTTTATGACTCTGAAGCTTAAAAAGTGAACAGTTTCACAGATGGAGGGCGGGTGGTTTTCAGAATGTGGCTCTCGCCTCAGCGCCGCGCACATTCGTATTTAAAATCCGCAAGAGTTTCACGGATTGAGGGCGGGTGGCTTTCAAAATGTGGTTCTCGCTTTAGCGCCGCGCACATTCTTTTTCAACATGTGCAAAGGCTGCACGGATTGAGGCTGGGTGGTATTCAAAATGTGTTTCTCGCTTGAGCGCCGCGCACATTCGTTTTACACATTTGCAAGAGCTTCACGGATTGAAGGCGGATCGTTTCCAAAATGTGTTTCTCGCTTTAGCGCCGCGCACATTCGTTGGAAACATTCTCAAGAGTTTCACAGATTGAGGGCGGTTGGTTTTCAAAATGTGCTTCTCGCTTTAGCGCCGCGCACGTTCGTTATTGAAAATTGCCAGAGTTTTACGGATTGAAGGCGGTTCGTTTTCAAAATGTGGTTTTCGCTCAGCGCCGCGCGCACTTGTCTACACATGTGCAGGAGTTTCACGGGTTGTGGGCGCTGCGTTTTCCACATGTGGTTCTCGCTTTGGCGGATGCGCACATTTGTGCACGCATGTGCAACAGGTTCACGGAGTCCCAAGATCCGCGTACCAGAAATTGTGTTAGGGAGCGGTTCGGGACGGTGCGGGCGCAACAGTTCTGCAGATTCGCGTCGCGGAAATCCAACGAATGACGTTATGGCACGATTCTGCATCGCCAAAACGCAGCAGTCAGGTTGATACATGGCGTTTAAATAAAGAGAGCAATTTTGTGGCATGCTCCTGGATCTTCAAACTGTTGACTTCCAACGAGGCAGTTCCCTCAATGGAAATGAACCGGTGTAGGGGCCTAGGAAGAGGGAGTTTGGAGGGAGGGTTAATTCCAACATCGTTGATGACTCTTGGGTTTACACTTGTCCTCCTCATCCTCCTCCTCCACCCACCACGGAGTGCAGCCACCGCGGAGTGCGCCCAGGACCCCTCCGAGGGGAGCCACGGTAGAGATTTGAAGTTAGGGATGGAGAGGGATTCAAGCGTCCTTCTCGGAGTGCGCCCCACAGTGCCGGTGGTAGGGGGCGGGGTCCATCGTCGTTTGGTCCCCTGCGGAGTGCGTCCCACATTGCCAGTGGGATGGTGGCCAGAAGGACCCATAGAAGCCCAGTAGGATCCAGGAGCCCGCGGCAGAGTGCACACTGCAGGGCCAGTGGGGGAGGGCACACCATAGGGGCCAAAGGGGACCGATCGGGATCCAAGCAACCGCAGCAGAGTGCGGCCCTCCTGGCCAGCTGCTTACAACCTAGGTATCGCAGGCCTAGAGGTTGACACGAACACCAATTTCGGCGGTGTGCCTCCACCGAGGGAAGAAGATCCCGATCTCGGTGATGGTGGCAATATACTGTCTTCAAGCCGAAATATTACCACCAGCACCGAACATCTAGGATCATCTTCCCCGTGTGGAGGCCCCCCCCCGTGTTGGTGTTGGTGCCAATTTCCAGGCCTCCAAAGGTAAGGGCCACTAAGCAAGCACTGCTTGGGAAACGTGTGAGCTTACCAGCAGTTCGCTTTATCCTTGCCAGAGAACTCGCAAATAATATCAAGGGAAGGGCATCGAGGGACTACCAGCGACAGCGGGAGGGGAGACGGGCAACCACAGGAGTGATCAGCCCACGCAGTCCCGTCCCAATCAAATTCTTGGCATCGCTCGGACGTGTGCATTTTTACTTCGGCGAGGACCATCGAGGAGCATCCTTGATCACTTGGCAAAACATCCACGCACGAAACCGAACAACAACAGGGAATGGACGTCCGAGCGATGGCCAGTTTTAGAAGAATCCACTTCAGGGGCCTCCGTGAGCCTCGTGCAGGCCTCTCGGGGCCAGTGTTGAGACAGGCTCGGCTCGTGCTGGGGGCGATCAAGAATGAATGATGCTTTGTCTCCGTCGTCCCTTGGAGCCCGAATCTCGAGAGGTTTACAATATTTGTGAGCCTCTATTGGCGCCTTCGGGGCTCTTCAGGCCTTGTTGAGGCCTCATAGGCCCATCATAATTGAAAAGGCGAGAAGTCAAAAACCCTATTGCCGCTCTGGGGTATCCTCTGAAGTCTCGGGGGCCATCTCAGAACCATGGTGAGGCCTTTTTGAGGTCTCTTGGAGCTACATTATCTCGAAGGCCACCTTGGCCTACATTGGATGCCATCTGGAGCAGGTCGGACTCGCTGGGGAGGTGGAGGGGAGGACATCTTTTTCGTGGTATCTGAGGCCCTGAGCCAATTCTAGCATAATGGTTACTTGGATAGTTGCAACTTGTCGTGGAACACCATACCGGCATAGTATTACTATCCATTCGAATGTTCTTAAACATTGTATCATGTGAAGCACATGGCCATCAGTTTTCGTCCGGCAATCAGGTTGTGTCTTACTGAAACTAAAACGGTCAGCAAGGAAACCACCACCACGCAGGCACTCCACGTAGTGATCGCACTGCCGAGCTTACCACTATGGCGCGGAAGGGGAATGGCCTTTCAACGTACGCCGCTGCGAAAGCTATGCATCATGGCGCTCTGAACCTGTGTTCTATGCTTAAGGTCGGAGGGGGTCACGTGCAGACATTGTGCAGGTCAGTTTGACGAGCATGACGTCTTCTTTGACTCGCTCACTGTCTCTCTTGACTCATCGAGTTGCCACCACCGCTACAGCCGCCACAACCGCTGGCGTCGTCGACGTTGGCGGGTTCGTCGCTGTGGTGGTCATCGGCATCGCCATTGCCATTTATCGTTGTTTCGGAATTGTTTTTGTGTTGGTCAGCAAACCGTGATTATCAGCGTCACCACAAGAGTCGCCATTGTCATCGATAGAGTCACCGTCCTGGTCGGTCATGCCAGCATCTTTGCCATTACCATAACCGCCCTCGACCGATCACCAACACCATCAATAATAATCTCCATCATCTACAAGCACTGACATGATCTTTGCCATCAGCGTCGTCAGCATCATTTCCACAGTCATTTGGGTTCAGAGTGTGCTCCGGCTCGGAAGCCATCCCCTCTGGCCGCGCGCGCCTGGGGAGTTGATGCAATGGCCTATGGTGCCCCTCTGGGGTACTACGGGGCTGGTGCACCACCACCACCACCACCAAGCATGTACGGGGCGGGCCCGCCAAGCATGAGGCCCTCCGGAAGCGGGTATAGTCCGTACGGGTCTGGGTATGATCCGTATGCAGGAAGCCGACAGCATGCCCTGGCGATCGTTCCGCAGGGCGGTTGGTACCCGCCGCAGCAGCAGCCGCCGCAGGAGCGGGGGCCCCCGCCCCTGAGGACCAAGATCAAGCGGGGGAAGGGCCTGCCAGGGTGCAACCTGTACATTTGGAAGATTCCCCCGGACTGGGACGAGCTGGAGTTGGCGAGGCACTTCGATCACTACGGCGAAATCATATCGTGCGTGCTCATGAGAGAGCCGAACGGTGATTCTCGCGGTTTTGGCTTCATCGGCTACACGGAGCCAGACTCTGTTCGCAAGGCGATCCTTGGCATGGATGGCCTGCCCGTGGGCCCGCCCCTGGAGCTGCCGGGCAAGATGCTGTCGGTCAGCCCAGTGAAGGGGGAAGAGCATTTGATGGCGGAGTTCCCAGATTGCTACCCCCCGGCGGGCGAGTACGGATCTGAGCCCCAGGGTCAGAGGACGGTGCCCGGGGCCAACATATACATTTTCAGCATGCCGCCGCATTGGAAGGACATGGACTTGTACAGGCACTTCATTCATTATGGGGCCGTCACGAGCGTGAAAGTGATGATGAAGGACGACGGTAAGGAGAACCGCGGATTCGGTTTTGTCGGCTTCGTCGACCCTATATCAGCGCAGCGCGCCATCGCTGGCATGCACAACCTCCTGCTCGATCCAGAGGGTATGGTCAAGAGGCTGCAGGTGAGGATCAAGAAGGGCGAGGAGAAGGCGGGAGAGGAGTGCAGAAAAGAACTGGCAATGAAGGACCCCTATCACCCGGGCTACAGCGAGCCCTCCACGACGAGCCGGTGAAGCCATGACCGCTCAAGCCGGATGGTAAGCCTGGAAGGCTAGCACATGGCCGCCACAGTAGACCGTAATCCCACTGATGTTCTCCTCTCGACCGCAACGTCCCCTCTTGCGTCGTCGTCGTCGTCGTCACCGCCACCGTTCTCGCCGTCCCCTCGTGCACCGCCACGGCTTCCCCATCGGGCCTCCGTTGGGTGCCTCTGGAGCCGGGGCCGAGCGGCTCGTGTTGCCGCAGCGGGGCCCTCTCGCCCCTGGCTGGGGCCGGCCGCGCGAGCTGGCGTGGGGGCCCGCACCCGAAGTGGCCTGGTGGCGGGTGGGGCTCCCTGCTTCCAGACCTGCGGAGCGTGAAGGCTTCGCAGCGGGGGCCCCCTTAGGTGAAGTCGGGCGGTGGGAAGAATTGTCTGGGGACGACTTTGGGAGTAGACGTGTTTGACTATGCTTGAATCTTGTCTGGCTATTTTTTTATTCTTCGTCCCAAATCCGCCTGCAGGGGGACATGCCCGATCCAATCCTGAGGTCTGCGGTCAGGCGCTTCAGCTCAGCGTGTCGCGGGGCCGGTTCCGGTGGCCCCCCGCGCTCCGGCGGCCGACACGCTGTCCACGTCCCAGTGCCTCAGCGTCGACGTCCCGAGCCATGCCGTGCTCCCCGCCCCGCAGAGCGGAGCGACACGCTGTCCGCTCTGGAGGCGCAGCGTGCCCCTGGGGTGCCGCCGCGGCACGGCGAGCAAACGTTCCCGGCTGTAGACCCCGTCCCCGGGATTGGCTTGTCGTCGCGGGTCGTTTATCGATGGTCCCCAGGGTCGTGGAGGGCCCCTGGGGACCGAACCCTGCCGCACGCGATTCGTAGGAGGTCACGCGCGGCGGGAGTGAGCCGCGCGTCGCGGTCTGGGCGCCGCGGAGGGAGCGGCTGTCCTTCTCCAGGGGGGCGTCGCGGTGACGCAAAGACTGTCGCGCCTCGCGCCTCGGTTGGCGCGATATGTTCGAAGTTGGGCGACAACGACGACGAGGAGGGGAGGAGGAGGAGGAGGAGGAGGAGGAGGAGGAGGAGGAGGAGGAGGAGGAGGAGGAGGAGGAGGAGGAGAAGATGGAGATGGAGGAGGAGGAGGAGGAGGAGGAGGTGGAGGCTGACGACGCGTCCGTGATGGGGCGGATCTCCGGCGGCCCTTCGGGGCGCCGTGGGCACCCCTGATGAGGGCTCTCGGCGAGGCGCCGCTGCTGCAGCGCGTCCCGAGGCAGGAAGGCGTCCCTGCCTCTCTCTGCCCCCCTCTGACGCCGGAGCCGCCGAGCCTTCTTAATCCGAAAGCCTTTATAACGGATTCGAGGGGACGATCGAAAGCAGTCCCCCGGCACTGCTCTGATCGCATTTCCGCATCGTTCAAAGCAGTGCCGGGGCACTGCTTTGAACGACTGGCGTTGTTCAAAGCAGTTCCCCGGCACTGTGGTCGTCGACGCCATTATAAAGGCTTTCGGATTAGGTCGGGCCTTTTTCCTTCTGCAGGAGGCAGATTCGACAAGTGTCGAAGAACAGTCCGGGGACGGTGTTTCGGGTATTCGTGAGCACTTCTTGACACATTAGTTGGCACTTGCCTTCATTCCCCCTGCAACAAATCCGCCTGTCGAGGGACGTGCCCGACCCAAGCCGAGCCGCCGCTCCCGCTCTCGGATCGGGCGAGGGGGGGAGGGGGCAGGGCAGCGGAGGGGGGAGGGGGGGGTCCCAGGCCTAGAGTTATGTCGGGCCTACAGGATGAAGATTCAAACATAGGAAAGATAGTGGGTTGAGCATTTTGGAGTATGTTTCGGGTATTTTTCATGTTGTCACCCAGAATTCCCGTGTGGGGGGACGTGCCCGACTTACGCCTAGAGGTTGACACCAATACCAATTGCGGTGGTGTGCCTCCACCACGGGGAAGAAGATCCCGATCTCAGTGATGGTGGTAGTATTCTGGCTTCCAAGGTGGCCGACAGATTACCACCGACACCGAGATCTAGGATCGCCTTCCCCCTGTGGAGGCAGCTCCCTGTGTTGGTGCTGGTGCACATGTCCAGGCCTCCGAGGGGGGACGAACCCTGCTGCATGCAGCCGGCCTCGACCCCGCCACCGAGAGCGCCTTTCTTGACACGCTGGGCGCCTCTGGGCGACATCGTACGCGGCTCCCTGCAGCGCGCTGTGCATGTTTACGCTCAAGCCGGGCCTGTCCCTCTACATAAGGAAAATTCAAAAATAGTCGAACAATAGTTTGGGGGCGATTTTCGACGTATGTTTGGAGTGTTTTTTTTGTATTTTTTGGTTCGCCCAAAATTTCCCTGTAGGAGGATATGCCTGACCAAACTTTTGAGCCAGACTCCAAATCACGAGCAGGACGAGGGCGAACGCAGTGAGCGCGAAGAGCAGGAGGAGGCAGAGGAGGCGGGGTGGGTGGAAACGACGACGCAGTGAGCCCGACTGGGAACCAGCTAGCAGGGCCCTGTAGCGAACGCATCCGGCACACGGCCAGGGCTGCGGTGGGATCCAGGGGAGTGGTGGCCACGGGCCTGGGGTATGGGTCTCTTTTTCTCTTCCCGGTGGCGGGAGGAGGCGCCGGGGAAAGGGGCCACGGGATCCCAGCGGACTCGCTGCCCCCCCCCCCGGGCTCCGGTGCTCCCGCTGCTCCTCGGGGCAGGCTCGTGAAGAGCGCCCAGGGCAGCCAGCAGGGCAGCCAGGCGGGCGAGCAGTAGGAGGCCCCGGGCCGCCTGAGGCCGACCGGGAGCGCACCGCCGCCCCGGGGCAGCAGCAGAGGAGCGCTGGGCGCGCCGCCGCTGGCGACCCGCCGCGCTCCTCCCCTCTCCAGCCCATCCTCCCGTCCTCTCCTTCCCCTCGCCCCTCCCCTGCCCCCTCCCCTCTCCTCGTCGTCGTATCTCTCCCTGCCCCCCTCCCCTCTCCTCTGCCCTGCCTCCTCCTCTCCTCCTCCCTCTCCTCCTCCGTCCAGCGGGGCGCTGGGGGAGACGACTCCTTGAGGACCCCCTGCCTGCAAGACGTAGCCGCCCGCCAAGGGGGCTTCAGGCAGCAAGGGGGCCCTTTGCGCGCGGGCGGTCGTGCTCGCAGTTCCGGCCCGTGGGCGGGTGGTCCTGGCGGCGGCGCAAGCGGCCTGTCATCGCTCTGGCTCCCCCAGCTCTCGGGGGCTGCGGAGAGGGGGCTTATGACTAATTAGGGGGAGGACAGCGTGGTGTGGGCCATGAGCTTTCCTCCGATTTCGTGGCGCCTCTTCTTGCTTCATTACGTCCCTGCCCCCCCCCCCCCTGGGCCGCGCATATGCCGCCGGCCACGACTGGCTGCCTCGTGGCTGGTGTCCCGGCGGCGCGCGCGGGCCACGGGCGCGGGCGGGGCGACGGCCAGAGGCCGCTCCTGTGGCCCGCGGGGCGACGGGGCACCCGGCCCCCGCGGGTGCCGCCCCACGGAGCAGGGGGGGACGGCGGCCGGCCATCGCAGCAGGCGGGCAAGCATAGTGGCGAAGCGTCCCGGCGTGCCCATGGGCCCACCAAGCAATGGTCTGAGCACCTCCCTCCTGTGACGTCTACGGGATGTGCTCGGAACGCGTCTGGCCGCGACCGTCTTGTGTTAACACATCGGGCGCATGTTTGAGTCGGGCGTGTCCCTCTACAGGGGGAATGCTCATAAATCGTAAAAAATAGTCAGGGGACGATGTTTGGGTATTCTTGATCATGTTTGATTATTCTTTGACAATCCTTTATTTTTCGTCCAAAATCCGCCTGTAGGGGGACATGCCCGACCTAATTCTACGAACATGTCATGGTAAACCTATAGGAATGCCGGGACGGTCGGTCCCTGCTCAAATCGGAGCTCTCCTGGGGCACCGCCTGTAGGGTGCCAGGGCAGGAGCGAGAATCAGTTACGACTGCGGCAGCCATGCAGCACCAGCCTTAGGTCGGGCACGTCCCCTCTACAGGCATATGCTTGACCGAACAATTACACATATTCCAAACATACCACAAAATAGTCAAAACAGAATCCCAAAAACGTGCCCATCATTTTTTGTGTATTTTCGAATATTCCTGTAGAGGGGCAAGGCCGACTTAGCACCGTGCACCAGGGCAGAAATGAGGAGTCGCAACAAGTGAGGCATCACCACGGAGCAGCAGTCATAGTGCACTCAGAGCACGAGGCACACCAGACATAGTGCCACAGTGCACGCTCATGCGGCATCAGGGCAGCGACACGAATTCGCAACACACGAGGCGTCATGAAGCAGCAGCCATACAGCTTCACCTGTAGAGCACCGGGACAGCAACGACAAACATAGCATATCAGTGGACAGCGCACCACCCATAGTCCACCAGGGCGAACACGAGACGTAATGGCAGACGGCCCGTCAAAATGGGAGCAGGCGAATGAAAAAATACCCCCCCCGGGGGGCTTCAAAATTATAGAGCTGGGCAGACTAATGAAAATCAAACCGCCAGAGCTGATTTTAGAATCGTCTGCCCCAGCCATTTTCCTGCCGTCGCCCTCGTCGTCGTCGTCGTCGTCGGTCGTCGGTCGTCGGTCGTCGGTCGTCGTTGTCGTCGTCGTCGACTAACTATAGCGGGCCTACGTATCACCCCCCCGCCACCCCACCCCATAGGGCATCCGCAATGCGTCGTCGTCGTCGTCGTCGACTACAGCGGGCCTGCGCAGCCCCCCCCCCATTGGGCATCCGCAGTGCGTCGTCGTCATTGTCGCCATCGTCGTCCCTCGTCCCCGTCGTCGTCGTCGTCGTCGTCGTCGACATCGTCGTCGTGCTTGTCGCCGACGACTACAATGGCCTACGCCGCAGCACCCCCCCCCACGAGGCATCCGTCGTGCGTCGCCGTCGTTGTCCGTCGTTGCCGTCGTGGTCCCTCGTCCTCGTGCTCGTCCTCGTCCTCATCCTCGTCCTCGTCGTCGTTGTCGTCGTCGTCGCCATCGTCGTCGTCGGTCGTCGGTGGCGTCTTCGTCATCGTCGTCGGCGTCGTCATCATCTTCTTCGTTGTCTTCGTCGTCGTCGTCGTCCTCGACGAACTACAGCGGGCCTGCGCAGTATCTCCCCCAGGGCATCGGGCGGGCATCCGCAATGCGCCGTCGTCGTCGACTACAGCGGGCCTGCGCAGCACCCCCCCCCCTCACCCATTGGGCATCCGCAGTGGCCGTCGACTACAGCGGGCATGCGCACCCCCCCTCTTTTCCCCACCCCAAGGCATCCGCAGTGCACCCGTCGTCGTCGACTGCAGCGGGCCTGCGGGCCTACGCCGCAGCACCCCCCCTTCCACCCCATGGGGCATCACCAGTGCGTCCTCGCCGTCGTTGTCGTCCTCGTCGCCGTCGTCGTCGTCGTCGGTATCGGTGGCGTCGTCGTCGCCGTCGTCGTCGACGCCGTCGTCGCCGTCGTCGTCGTCGTCGTCGTCGTCGTCGTCAACGCCGTCATCGTTGTCGTCGTCGTCGTCGTCGTCCTCGTCGTCGTCGTCGTCGGCGGTGGCGTCGTCGTCGTCCTCGACTAAGTACAGTGGGCCTACGCAGCAGACCCCTCTTACTCCATAAGGCATTCGCAGTGCGTTGTCGTCGTCTCGTCGTCGTCGGTCGTCGTCGTCGTCGTCGTCGCGTCGTCATCGTCGTCGTCGTCGCCGCCTACGGCGAACGGCGGGTCTACGCAGCACCCCCCCCCAGGGCATCCGCAGTGCGTGGTCGTCGTCGTCGTCAGCATCGTCGCCCTCGTCTGTCGTCCGTCGTCGCCGTTCTCGTCCTCATCCTTGTCTTCGCCCTCTCGTCGCTGTCGTCGATCGAGTTCGTGGTCGTCCGTCCTTCTGGTCGGCGGCGCAATCGCCCTCGCGGACGGCCCGACCCCCTTGACTGGGAGGGAGGAGGAGGAGGAGGAGGAGGAAGAGGAGGAGGAGGAGGAGGAGGAGGAGGAGGAGGAGGAGGAGGAGGAGGGGGACGACGAAGCGGAGAAAGAGGAGGAGGAGGAAAAGGAAGATGAGGCGGGGGGAGGAGGATGAGATCAAAGCATTGTTTTCTTCAAGGGTCGGGTTCGCAAACCTTTGGCGGCCTCGTGGGCTCCCCCCCGGCCCCCCCAGACAGCTTGGGATTGCCCGCCCTCCGTCGGCCTGCTCTCCCCCCCTCCATATTTTGTGGGGGCAACCAGGCCGGCGAGTTCATCCGTAAGGGCTTGGCCCCCATGCCGCCGGCCCCCCTTCTCGTAGAGTGGGGCTTGCCAGAGCTGTGTCGGGATGTCTGGACGGCGACGTGAAGCCATGTCGGGACTTCACGCGGGTGCCAATCTTAACTTACGAGGGCTTATTGATTCGGTGGCGCGGCTATTAGGTCATTGGCAATGGTTTATGGCTTCGGGGACGTGACTTTTGTGTAATTTACAAGGGGGTTACGGCTTCGGGGACGCAAAACATGCAGGAAGGTTTATGGCCTCGGGGGCGCGCATATTGCGTCATTTACGATGGCTTGTGGCCTCAGGGACGCGAATATTGTGTAAGTTGTGAGGGTTTGCGGCCTCGGGGACGCAAGTACGGTTTGTGGCCCTGGGGACGCGAATATTAAGTATTTGTCGAAAGGTTTATGGCTGCGGGGCGCGCGAATATTTTGTGATCTACAAAGATTTATGGCTTCGGGGGCGCGAATATCATGCAATGTGCAAAAATGTATGGCTTCTGGGACGCGAGCATTGCATACTTTACGAAGGATGTTGGCTTCGGGGACGCGAATATGCTAGAATTTACAAGGGTTTCTGGGGTCGGACATGGCGTACTTTACTAAGGGTTATGGCTTCGGGGACGCGAACATCAAGTATTTTAACGTGTCCCACGACCCCCCGGGAAATTCAGAGAACGCGATTCAGCGACGCTAGCCTGGACGCTTTTCGGCTCCGCCCCTTCGCGCGCTCAGCAGCAATTTACAGTAAGGAAGCAGAAAGCAGGACTGTAACAGTGGAAATTGGAAACTGCAACTGGCACAGGGAGCTGCAAGCCTAATCTTCGCAGCCTGATGGCTCCGCAAGGGGCCGGCGGATTGTCGAATCGTCCGCCCCTGATTTTTTGTTTAACCGTTTGCTTCCATTATAGCACTGCCAATGAAGCCTGAATTCCACCCATCGGGCACTACCCGTCGACCACCTGGGCAAGAACGCACTCACAGCCAACAGCTCGCCGTAAGCACCATGTAGAAAGTACCACCCATGGAGGGGCATGGAAGAACGCGGGCTCGCAGCAATCGGCCCAACACAAAGCTCCAGCAATAGCACAAGGCCAACACATCGAAATCCCGCAATTCATCCATGATCGAGCGCCGGCCATCGAGCACCATAACACAATCGACAGTTGGCAACAACACCCATCACAGAGGAGCGATAGCGTATCACAGACAACCTGCCATAGAACACCCCCCCCCATAAAGCACCGGGGCTAGAATGGGACATCGAAGCAAAGAGCCCATCATACTCACGAGGTGGTAGAGTTTCCTACCGTCGGCGATCGCGGATCGCGACAAGGAAGACAACGCAGATGATGGCCAGCTTGAGGATTACGAATGATGACCACATGTGCCACTTGCGGAGTGATTTGGCCCAGGCCGGATTAATACACGACTGCAATGAGGTGGCGTGTTTTGTTGTCCAAGTAGGCTTGCCCGATAGGAGTTCTAGCTCAAACCCTACTGACTGGGCCGTTGCCGCCCCCTCAATCCCTATGCCACCCCTACGTCCTATGGCTGTGCCTGTGCTTGCTCTTGCTTGCTTGCTTGCCTGCGGATTCCTATGCCTGCTTGCTCTTGCTTGCTTGCTTGTACGTGCGTGCATGCTTGCTTGCTCTTGCGTGCTGGCTCTTGCACACTCACTTGCTTGCTTGCTTGCTTGCTCTTGCGTGCTTGCTCTCGCTTGCCTGCTCTTGCCTGCCCTTTCTTGCTTGCGCTTGATCGCTGGCTCTTGCTTGCTTGTTATTGTTCGCTTACGCTTGCTTGCTTCCGCTTGCTTGCTTGCGCTTGCTTGATGCCGTTCCTCCCGTCCTCCTCCCGTCCTGCTCCCGTCCTCCTTTCGTCCGCCTTCCATCCTCTTGTCCTCCTCCTGTCTTCTTATCTTTTTGGAGTCAACGCTGGCTGATAGTTTATTCGACAATGTAGTGCATGCCTATATCACTATCGTTTATGTGCCCTTCGCGCTGCATGTTTGCTCATCATACGCTGTTCGCTGACATTCTTATGGGAGGGCAGGAGTGCCGCGAAGGCTTGATTTTTTTGCAATCGCAAAGAATTGTCAAACCACCCGAGTGCAGCAATAGAGCCATGAAGCAACACATGCATAGCGCCCTGGAAATATTTCGAAATCGCAGCCAGCTCTTGCTATCCAGGACCAGCCACATAAAACCACCCGTATGGGAAATACGCGAAATCGCTCGACATTGCCCATCATAGAGCACCAGCCATAGAGCACTACCCCCAGCCTCAGGGCACCAGCGCATGAGCACGAAGTCGTTGCCGACAGCACATCATACAGCACCACCCGAGGGGCACCAGGGCATTAAGGAGAAATTGCGGCAAATTGTCCATCACAGACAACCAGCCGTAATGCACCACCCACAGAGCATTGGCAAACGTTTCATGAGGGCACCGGCCATCGACCACGACAAGAGCACAAATGCAAAATTGCAACTCGCAACAATCATTCCCGGTCCGCCCGATTCATGCAAGAACCATCTTGATGCAAGCGTTGCAAAGGGAACGTGCCACAGCAAGCAGTCCCGCATCACATGGACAAAATAAAGAACTCTTTAATGTACACACGCTTTCGGGAAATGTAGATGACCATCCACAGCGCCCCAAGTCCAGAACGCCCAAAGGTGAAATCGCCGCAAACAGCCCATCATAGAGCGCCAGATTCAGGTCGTCTCCAGTAAAGCCCCAGGACAATAACGGGACATATGAGCAAACGGCCCATCATGAAGCACCAGCTTAGAGCACCTCCCACAGCCATGGAGTGCCACCCATAGAGCAGTAGAGCCAGAATGAGAGAACGCACCAAACGAACTATTCTATAGTACTGGTCACATAGAAACGCTTGTAGAATACCAGGTCCATATCAGGCGTCGCAGTGTATGGCCCACCATCGAGCACATGCTCAAGCGCACCACCTATGGAACGTCAGGGCAACAAAACGACCGGGCCGTCATAGAGCAGCAGGTGGGCACCAGAGAAAGAGAGCGACAGCGTTCTTGTCCCCCCCTTCCCTATCTCCTCCTCCCCTCCTCCCCTCCTCCTCCTCCTCCTCCTCCTCCTCCTCCTGCTCCTTCTCTGCTCTCGATTCTCGATCCCGTCGTCTCGTTCCCCGGTGCAGACTCCACTCAAGTCCCCCCCCTTCGCCGCACCTCCCCGCCCCCCCGCACCTCCCCGCCGCCGCGCGGCCCAGGGTTCGGCGGCGCCCGTCCCGCGCCGTTCTCCGCGCCCCGCTCGGGGGGGGGGGGCGGGGCGCACGTTTCACCACGACGCCCTGGCGGCGCGCACCGAAGGGAGCAGGGCGACGATCTGGGGCCACGCTCGGTGGGGGTAGGCTGAAGTCGGGCACGTCCCTCTACAGGGGAAATCATCAAAATAGTCGGGGGATAATGTTTGACTGCTTCTGATCGTTTTGATAAATTGTGTTGACCATGTTGAATTTGTCGTCCAAGACCCGCCTGTAGGAGATTAGGGCTCCTCCTCCTTCTCCTCCTCCTCTTCTTCCTCCTCCTCCTCCGGGAGGTTCTGTAGCCATTTTGGCTCAAGTAACACATCTTTCGAGGTTGGTCCAGGTTGACCACATTGAATCTTCCGATCAGTGGCCCTGCCCAGTGTGGAAGTAGTGTTTATCGAACACCGTCCACCACTGTTGGCTTGCATTTTGCCAGCCCTCAGTTGCAGCGGTGGGTCGCAAAGCTGTTCGGAAGCAGATTAAGGAGGATTCTCGCCGCGACAGGGGAGAGCGCGACCATCACTGCCGAGACAGTTCGTCGGGAAATGCATATTGCAGGTCTCCGGCATCACGTGTGAAGCGCATGCTGACCCCCTCGCCGAGTCGCAGCCGTCACATTTCAAGTCGTCCAAGGGGCCATATCAGTGTGCATGGCTCCAGCCAGGGAAGCGAAGCTCCCATTTCGTCCAACGTCATGAACGAGTTGCGCGCGATGGTGGGTTCATTCGAGTCAAACATCACAGCCTCGATCGATGCATCGACGACGCAGCTTCAGTTGCATATTACCTCGCACCAAACGGCGCTTCTCCAGCTCGACACGAGGGTGCAGCACACCACGGAGGAGCTACGGAATCACAAGCCTCAGATCGAGCAGCTCGGAGCCCAGCTGCAACAAGTGGCCCAGGCAGCGTCGCTGGCGGCTTCGTCATCCTCAGCTGCGTCTGGGTCCAGTGGGTCGCGGGCACCAGCAGGTACGAACCCATTTGTGCGGTATGTTGGTACGGTTCCTCGGCCAGTTCATAAGACAGTTCGGCAGGCCCATTTTAAACAAGTTCTAGCTGCGCACCCTCATCCTCTCCAGGGCGCGGAAGTCGTTTTGCATGCTGTAGCACAGAACTACAAGATCATGTTCGCTTCTCTCGCCCTTGCCAAGCAGTTATGCGAGGACGTTTCGTCCGCCGTGCTGCAGTGGGTGGATCCTCGGAATGGGGCCACTCATCAGCTTCGGGTGCGACAGGACTGCCCCAGTGATGTTCGTGATCGCCAGAGGTGCATCAGTCGAATCTACCAGCCCATCCTTGACTTGCTCAAGCAGCACCAGTCATGGGCGCCGGAATGCAAGCTCGGTTTCAACGGCTTCAAATGGGGAGATGATGGTGGTCCAGCCCGCAGATGCATCCATTATCGTCAAGCTCACCGAGCGCCCTGAGAGCACGGAGGAGTTCCAGGCTGTTCAGGAGGAGCTCAACATGTGGGGTATCTCGGCTGAACAGATCCAGCAGATCTTCAACTCTGCCCACCGCGCTGAACGGATCGGCCAGTACCTGCGTGGGGTCCCTTGAGCGGCACGTGCGCCAGCAGGCGCCTGTCAGTCTTTCGCCTCAGCCGCTGCGGGAGAGCGAGCACCCCGAGGGGGATGGTTGCTCGAGTGGCAGAGGCGCGCCCGCCTGTAGTCTCGTGCAGAGGGAGACCCCAGCACATCGCCATTCTGATGCGAGCTCGTGCACTGAGGCCGTCGAGGGCCTTGCTCGTAGTCTCGCTTTTTGGATCATCTTTATTTTCCATCTCACCTTGTTCTTGTCATGATACTATCATTCCATGCGTCCCTGATTGCCCGCTCGGCATCTGCATATGGAATACTCAGGCTGTCTTTGGCTCCGTCCATTCGAACCAAGCTAGCTTCCGACGTAAACTGAAACATATGCGTTCTCTTCTGCGCAAATTCCAGGTCCTCGGGATCCAGGGGTCTCATGGGGGGGGGGGGGAGATTTTTCATATTTAGCGTGAAGTTCGGCCCCATCAGGTCTTCGGCAGTTTCTGTCCATCTCCGTCTGCAGGCGGCGCACTTCTCCTCGTCTCCAAATAGTTCCTGAGCACGCGGCGTTGCGTCAAATTCAGGATTATAGCACCTGGCCTCATCAATTTACTGCGCCTTCCTGGAAGGAGAGGCGACATCCAGTTCCCCAACCTCCATGTGGATCCTGAGTGGGGCATCAATGATATTAGGGGTGTTCGCCAAGATCAAGAGTGCCCTCGGGGGCCCTGGTAAGTGCTGCGCCTTCCTCTTCGGGGATTCCAGCTTCACGGCGCTGGGAGAATTCAGAGTGAACGCTTCCTCGTGGCATGAAGGTCCCTCCAACAGCCGGTTGGTATCGCGTTGTTTCGTCTTCTCTGCTGTGCCTTGCGGAGGTGTTGCAGGAGGGTGATGCGCATAGGCTGCAGAGGGATGGCGCGTGGTCCTATGGGCGCCCCGACCGAGTTCGTTGCTCCCTCCCCGCCCAGGAGTTGCTCGGCCTCTGCCCCAACACTGGCGTCGTTTGGCCGGCGTCTGACATTTCGGGACCGTCTGAGCACCTCCCTGTTTTCCTTACGCTGGAACCTTGGAACCTTCAAGGCACCGCCAGTATCCCTGCCTGGGCTGCCCGACGTAGAGCGCTTCAAGAAGTTGCGCAGGGACCCCTCATGCCTGAAGAGCTGGGTCAGACCCTGGACGCGCAGCTCCGGGGCGCCAAAAATGCGCCCTACTATGTTGCAGGTCGCGCCGAGAAGCACATGGCACGGAGCGGCGCTGAATGGTTGGAGGAATATGTCTCTTGCTGCTTAAAGTTTGTGCGTTCTGTTCGTGGTGGTCGGTTTCTTTAATGCTGAGAAGGCGGCCCGTGGGCGCCCCTTTCCTTGGCAGGCGCGATCTGTCCGGGGGTCCAAGGCAGACATTGCTGAAGCGAGGTCTGCTGCCGCCACCCAGCGAGCCCGCGACATTTCGCTCGCCCGGCGGTCGAGCGGCCGCAAGATCAGCCTGCAGCAGATTACCGATGTAGACGGCCAGCATTATTCAGATGGCCGAACATGCGCATATATTCTCGCTGAGCATTGGAGCCGAGTTTTTCAGGGCGCAATTGCATCTGATGAAGGTATATCCGGTATTTGTTCTGAGATCGTCCCTATTTCTACACATGAGTACCATTTTTGCGCCAATGCTAAATCTCTGTATCCATGGGTGGTTCCTGGGAGTGTTTTCTTGGAAATTCTACGTTGGAAGAAAGATGCGGCCCCTGGCCCTGACGGGGCGCCCAATGCTGCCTGGAAGTGCGCCGGAGAAGGTGGTCAACATACATATGATACCACGTGTGCCTCAGGTTGATGCAGGTAGGTCAGTTGCCGCCAGACTTCACTGGTGCTCATGGCGTCTTTCAACCAGAGGATTGCCCTGGCGGAGATAATAATGCCAGAACGCCTGCATGTGCGTGGCCTCTCTCCCTGAGCAACTCGGACAATGAGATTGTCGCCGGCTGCGTAGGTTTTGCTGTCAGCAAGATCGCGGAGGACACTGCAGTAGGGCGCCAGAAAGGATTCGCCGAAAGGTCGCCAACTTCCGAACATGATTGTTCCGTGGACGCGGCGATTCTGAGGCGGGCTGTCATTGATGCCTGCCCGAGGTTTGGAACCGCGTCGCTTGACATGAAGAGCGCATTTCCCAGTGTCCTGCCCCTGTTGATTTGGGCGGTGCCCAAGGAGATGAACCTGCCCAAGCACGTGCGCCGCGCGATCCGAGCGTTATACTCCAGTATGAGAATGAGCAGCAGTTTCCATGGGCGTGAACTTGTATTTATTCATATTACGAGGGGTGTCAAGCAAGGGTGTCGTTTTTTTCAAGTTTTCTGTATGTGTATCAACCCTGTCATCGCTCGGAGTCGACGCAGGTGCTCGTCGCTTCCCATGTCCATGGGTGCATTTGCTGACGATATCGGAATTACATGCAAAGATATGCTCCAGCGTTTGCCATCCATCCTGCGCGTTCTATTCAGGAGTGCGTTTGCGACGGGGCTCGTGCTGAATAAAGCCAAATGCGTGCTGTTTATTCCTGATCAACGGTCCCGTGAAACTGCAGTACCGGATCTCAAGGATATGGGTGTGTATATTACAGAATTTACGATTACTTGCAATGGGAAGTACCTGGCAGAAGTCTTGGAATCTGGTGATTAAAATGTTCGTGCGTCGCACCCTGCAGGTGAAACAGTTGGGTGGGGGGCTCTCGTACAGTATCACGGCAGACTACATGTGCGCGCTGTCTGTCGTCCGCCATGCAGCGCAAGTGTGGGGGCCTCCTAAGTTTGTGAAGATGGCGGAGAAAAATGCACTGCAGAGGCTCCCTTGTTCGCCGCGTTTCCATTCCCCCCCGGAGCCATGCATCGACTCCGCGATCTCGGCCATAGGGTTGACGCCAGGAGGTTGGAGGTCTGATCATGCGCCTGTCTGTCGCGCGCTGCCATCAACCCGCCCAAGTTTCACGAGTTGAAGAACTGCCTGCAGGAGTTTTGACACTTCTAACGAAGTCAATATCATGTGAAAGTTCACCGCGTTAGCGGGTGAATCGCTCTTCTTCAGGATGTGGCAAGTGTACGACGCCTTCTTCCACATCCATGTGCTTCCCGAGTGTCTGAGGAGGAGAGTTTAGGCCAGGGTAATGAAACTTGTGAACCGTGATCGCCACAGTGATGCCCCCACGATCCAGGATGTTATTTTCCCCCTGGTGGCCAAATCGATCCCTGGCGTGCCTCGGGGTGATGTCCTCCTCACTTTTGTTCGGAATCATGTTGCTGGTGCCCGTCTTCCTGGATTTGTCTTCGCTGCCTGCTGAAAAACGCTCTGTGACGGGTGGAACACAACCAGGAGATACAGGCAGTCCACCCAGGCATGCGGATTTAGCAGTTATGCAGTGGGAGGAGATGATGTGTTGCATTACTCGACCTGCCCAGAACTTACTGAATGTATTCGTGGAGTGTTGCCTTGGCTTCCCAACGAGTGGGGACGTGAACCTCTGAGCTCGATCCTGCCGCACTTGTTCTCTGCATCCTCTCACGAGTCTCGTCCCTCCCAATTGCTTTTGTAGATTTACTGCAGACTTGTTTCCAGGTTTGTCGGGCCTTTCCTCTGTTTGCACTGAACCCGCCCTCGCCCACTCCCTAGTTAAAGCTAGGCTGAGGGCAGGGGCGAGACGGAGTAAGACAATTCGTGCTCTCAGCCGAGGTGCCAGAGTTGAGTGATCTCTTTTATTTTGTGTTATGATCGGTGTTCCTGCCCTGGCCTGTTGCCGCCCTGGGGGGAACGGGCTAAGGCAATGGCTTGGGTCGCGTCGGCCGAACCATTGCCTTCCTCCCAGTCAGTGGTGCTCCTGCTCTGGAAGGTCTGCGGGTGGGCGTTCTCGGCGGACTCGCAGCCGTGGGCGCGCCTCCCAGCGGCCGGCGCCTCGCCGGGAGGGCCCCGAAGGGGGTGCCCCGGAGCGTCCAGGGCGGCCGCCGAAGAGCCGCGCCGATGGCCCCAGGACCGCCAGGCGTGAGGGCTTAGGTTCGGCAGTTGACTGCAGGCGGTCCATCGGAAAACGTGCCGAAATCTTGAAACAATCTTCGGCCGGGAACTCAAATTCCAAGTTTTTTTTTGTTTTTTTTTTGTTTTTATATATATATATAACTTGAATGGGAAACTCAAAATCCAAGACAACCTGAGAACATCTCAAACGCAAAACCTGGGGAGAACTCAGACACAGAAGAAATTGCGGAACATCTTGAACCCGAAACCTGGGAAACACCCAAACCCACAAAACACATATAAAAAACGTGAAGCTCAAACCTATACAAAAACTCAAACCCGGAAGGCTGTTTTCCCAGAGTTTTTGTTTTAAAAGAGTTTCCCCAGAGCGCTTTTAGACTTGTCCCAGAGTTGTTATCACAGTTTTTTGCATTCGAGTTTTCAAGCGTTTACACTATTTCCAGAGTTGTCCCACAGCTTTTTGTATGTTTCAGTCGTTTAGAGCTTTTCCAGCGTTTTTCCATTTTTATAGTTTTAAGAGTGTTTTTAGAGTTGTTGTAAACGTTTTTTTTTTTTTTTTTTTTTTTTTTTTGTCTACAGTTTGCCGAACGTTTTTTCCCAAACGTTTTCCCATGTGTCGGTTTAGATATTTTCTGGAGTTGTTGTTTGGTTTGAGTTTTTTCCCCAGGTTTGAATTTCAGATGTTTTCAAAGTTTTTTGTGGTTTTGAGTATTTCGCAGGTTTGGTGTTTGAGTTTTTTTGTCAGGATGTCGACCTCCCCAGGTGTTGGTTTCAAGATTTCCTGTTTTTTTTCTGGTGTGGGTCTTTTGGCCCGAAGTGGTCGTGGACCTCCTGTAGTCGCAACTGCCGAACCTAAGTCAGGGCCACTTTTGGTCAGAGCAGGAAAAGGTACCCATGCACATTGTTCATCTCTAATTATTCGGAAGTTCTTGGATTTTTTAGGGGGCCAAGATCCTTTCATTTCTAATTGTTCTGTCGTGGGCCTCTTCCTGGCCACTAGGGGTCAGGAACAATGAGAACCGATCACAATTAGAAATGAACATGATTAGACATGAACGACGTGTACCCACGCCTCTACCCCGCCCCCCCGTTTTCCCCCTTTTGGGCCAGAAGAACTGCGGGGACTGGTCTTGAACAGATTTTGGCCAGGGTGTGGCCAGGGTGGCACCATTCTGATAAGGCAACCCGCCTCTTCGAGGCTATCTTGCCTTCGAAGAGATTCCAGTTCGAGTCCTGGTGGGTTGGAGCTCAACATCGGCCCTGGCATACTTCGCTGAATGTCAATCCAAAGCCTGTTAGATGCTAGCTCCAACTGGATGGACCCCTGTCCAAATATGGCGTATTCCCGCTTCATGTTTCATGTATGTGGCCCTTTAGATACTCGTGCTCAGTGGTCATCAGTCGCCCCTGTGTGGGGCCCTCCAAAACCAGAAGCTGTCTCAGGAGTCTCGGCGAAGACCTCGTAGGATTAAGTCGGGCGTGTCCCTCTTTAGGAAGAGTATTCAAACATAGTCAAACCTTTATCTGGGGATTTTGTTCAGTATGTTTAGACTTTTTTCTTTGGCCGTCCAAAATCCCCCTGTAGGGTGACATGCTCGACCTAATCGTAGGAACCCCCCCTGCCTCCTTGTTGCGCGCCGCCGGCCCCTCGTCGCTAAGCGACGCGTGCCCGAGACTTCCTGCAGCCGGACAAGAGCGAGCATGCTCCGCGCGCGTGCGACCTCGTCGCCGATGTTCGATGATCCTCAGGGCGTGCGTGAGCTTAATGCGTGCGCTACTCCGCTCAGCTCCACCGATCGATCTCCTGCGTTGTATTGAGGGGTCCGGAGGGGCAGACACACATCGGCGCTGAAACACACGCTCTGAGGACCATCGAGCCGCGAGGTCCGTCCTCTGGGGGAAGGGGAGGAGGAGGAGGAGGAGGAGGAGGAGGAGGAGGAGGAGGAGGAGGAGCAGGAGGAGGAGGAGCAGGAGGAGGAGGAGGAGGAGGAGGAGCAGCAGGAGCAGGAGGAGGAGGAGGGGGAGGAGGAGCAGGAGCAGGAGCAGGAGCAGGAACAAGAGGAGGTGGAGGACAGCACGAGGGTCATCGAGCCGAGAGGCCCACGGCCTCTGGCGGCCCCGTCTCGTGCAGCGCGGCGGCCTCGGAGCTCTCTCGGCCCCTCCTCTCCCCTGCCCCGGAACCGCTTCTCCGCCGCCCCCCCCCCGTCCAGCCCCGAGGGGAGTGGAGCGCATGGCGCGGACGAGGAGGGGTGGTGGTGGTGGTAGACGAGAGTGGGGAGGAGGATCGGTGCGAGCGGAGTAGCGTGCAGTGTTCTAGGGAAAAGAAGAACGTCGGGGGGGAAGGAGGATGGGGAGGGAGGGGGGCAAAGGGGCGGAGGATCGGCTTAGTTTCGCAGTTGGGTGCTAGGGCAGGTCCTCATTGGTAGAATCCCTGGGCATGGCTGAGCGAGAGGAAGTGGGAAGGGGTAGCTTTTGGATGAGGACCAGCGGTAGAGTTGGTTCGGGCGGGAGCGAGTTCCCAAGATGGGAGCGTGATGGAGAGTATGCTGGTGAGGAGAAGGAGGAGGAGGAGGAGGAGGAGGAGGGGAAGGAGGAGGAGGAGGAGGAGGAGGAGGAGGAGGAGAGGAGGAGGAGGATCACCAGTAGGGGAGGAGAAGGGAAGGAGGGGGATGAGAAGGGGGAGGAGGAGGAGAAGGAGGAGGAGGAGGAGGAGGCGAGAGAGAGAGAGAGAAACAAAAAACGACACCCGTGCGAGAGGAAAACTGATTCGGGCTTGCTGGCGCGAAAGCGTTTCGAAGTTCATCGCAGCTGAAGCCGAAGCGAATCAGACATGCACAGATGCGGAAGGAACCCACCCTGCAGACTCGGTTGACAGGAGGAGGGCGCCATCGCCCTCTTTCGCCTTCTCCTCCTTCCCCGTCCTTGCCAGTGGCATCCTCCATCCGAGTGGTATCGTCCATCGCCCCCCTCGTCCCCCTCCTCGCCCTCCTCGCCCCCCCTTGCCCTTCCGAGTGGCATCGTCCATCTCGTCCTCCCCGTCCGCCCCCTCCTCCCCCCCCCCTCGAGGCTGCCGCCGCTGCGGCCCCCCGGCCCTGCCCCATCGCCCGTGACGCCCGCTCTGCTCGTCCTGCCCATCCCTGTTTCGCCTGCTCGTCGTCTCCCCGCTTCTCCTCATCTTCCTCCTCCTTCTCCTCCTCCTCTTTCTCGTCCTCCTCTTCTTCATCCCTCCTCCTCCTCCTCCTCCTCCTCTTCCTTTCCCCTCCTCTTCCTCGCTCATCCTCTTCCTCCTTTTCCTCCTCCTCCTCCTCCTCGTCATCCTCCTCCTTCTCTCCCTTCTCCATTCCTTCTCCCTACACATAACTTCTCCCTGTTGCACCCCGAGGCAAGTTTTTAGGGCGGGCCAGGCGTTTTTCCTGAGAGTTCCTCACCAGTTCTGATTCTGAAGCTTTAAGATTGGCAACGGCTTCATAGATGGAGGGCGGGTGGTTTTTCAAAACGGTGGCTCTCGCCTTAGCGCCGCGCACAGTCGTAGTAAAACATTGCAAGAGCTTTTTCACGGATTGAGGATAAACCGATTTCAAATTGTGGTTCTCGCCTTAGCGCCGAGCACATTCGTTTTGTAGATTGCAAGAGCTTCACGGATTGAGGGCGGTTCCTTTTCAACATGTGTTTCTCGCTTTAGCGCCGCGCACATTCGTTCATAAACTTTGCCAGAGTTACACGGGCTCCAGCGATCAACGTATCAGACATTGTGTTTTGGAAGGGTTCAGGATTGTGCGGGTGCAACGAATACAAGGGATTGCACCTGATTTGCAATCAGTGTTTGGGATGATTCTGGAGGATCCAGAACGAATATTGCACGAAAGTTGCACACTTGTGCATGGATTTCGGAGGATTCAGGGAGCCAAGAGGAAGGAGGGTGCAACAGACGCTGATTCGCGGTTTGGCAATCACAAGAACGGCGTTCTGGCACGATCCAGGATCGTCAAGACGCAACAGTCAGGTTGATCCTTGGCGTTGAAATCCCGAGAACATTTTTTGGGCATGCTTCTGGGTCTTCAGACGGTTGTCTTCCAACGAGGCAGATCCCTTATAATGGAAATGAGCCTTTGTAGGGGCATATGAAGAGGGAGCCTGGACGGAGGGTGCATTCCAACATCGTTGATGGTTATTGGGTTTACACTGGTCCTCCTCCTCCTCCTCCCCCTCCTTCTCCTCCCCTTCCTTCTCCTCCCCCTCGTCCTCGCCCTCCTCCTCCTCCTCCTCCTCCTCCTCGCGCCTTCTCTTTCTTTTCCTCCTCCTCTCTCCGCCCCCACGCTCCTCCCCAGAGATCCGACGTCGTGATTTTTGCAATACGCAGCCCTGGGGAAGTCTCAACCCATTACCCAGGACCGGTTTTTCATCCCCAGTCGTTTCTTGACGGGCCCGAGGCCTGCCTGGTGAGGAACCCTGGAGACCGAAAGTTGCGAAAATTCTCCGTCGTGTTTTTGTCCATACGTTGGATCTCTGGGTCCGCCTCCTCCGCGCTCACCCCTCCTCTCGCCTGCAGCCGCGCTCGGCCCACGGCGCAGCGTGCCGTGGCCGCGCCATGGCGCCGCCGCCGCCGCCGCCCAGCCCCGCCGCCGGCGCGCGCGCGCCCTCGCGGCGGCGGCGGCGGCCGCGAGAGGCGCCCGCCGCCGCGGCCGCCTTCGGGCGTTGGCGGCGCCGCCGCCGGTCGCGGCAGGGTGCGCCGCCGCGGGGCCATGGCGCCGCCGCGGCCCAGCGCGGCGGCGCCGCGCGGCGGGGTGGCGCGATCGGGCGGGGGCGGCCTCGCCAGCCTGCACCCCCGGGGGGGGGGGGTCCTCCTGTCGCGGTGGCGGCCCCGCCGCGCCGGGGCCCAGGGCAGAACGGAAAAGGGTGGCTGCGCGTGTGCCTGAGGTGGTTCTAGGTCGGGCATGTCCCCCTACAGGCGGGGTTTGGACGACAAATCGAAGATAGCCAAATCATTTCACCAATACCCAAAAAATCGCCCCCAGACTATTTTTGAGCAGTTGTGAATACTCCTCCTGTAAAGGGACACGCTTGACTTAGAGTTAGTTGGGGGGTGCTGTTTGCATGATGTGTGTTGCGGGGGGGTGTTGCAGCGCCACGGTTATACCTGGTTTCGTAGCGTCATCGCTCTATCAAAAGGTTCCCAGCAAACCTCGGAGGCCTCGGAAGGCCTCTTTGGGAGCCCCTGGGCCTCTCTGAGAAGGGCTCTGCCCTGTTAGAAGTTCCGTCTGTTCTCTTAGGATCGGCAACCTCACTATGTGTTCAAAGATAGTTGAGATTCGGAACTCAAAGGAGATCATCAGCCAGGTGAACCATAGCGGGTCTGTCCGATACCCCTGGCGCCGAGTGGACCCGTAGGGGTAGGGTTCGCCAACGGTCGGCAGATACAGTCAACATCCATAGTGAAGATGCGCTGCTTCATCGCGGCTATCCTTGCATCACTGCTTCTTCGGGCCACGCTGAGCCAATGTTGTTGTCCGAGGAGCTCAGAATGGCAACCAGCACTTCCAAGGGTCTTGCATCCTCACCTTGCATCCGCCCCTCGCGCCGCCCAAAACTTGCGCCGCCCCGCCCCCCCCCGCCCCCCACTTTACATCCGCCCGCCCAGCCTCACATCCTCACATCCGCCGCCCTCGCGCCGCCCCCCCCCCCCCCCGTCGCACCTTCTGCATCTGGCCCCCCCACCCTTCCCCTTGCGCGAGGGGCCGCCCCACCCTCGCGCCGCCCCCTCGTGCGCGCCGCCAGCCAGCGCCGGCGGCGTGGGCGCGCTCTGGGCGGCGGCGGCGATCGCCGGCGGGCCGCCCGCCGCCGCGGCCGCCGCCGCCTGCACGGCGCAGCTGTTCACCGACGGCGAGTTCAACACGGCCACCACCGCGGGCGCGCCGCTGGTCCGCCCGCGGACCTCGCGCCCGCTGCGCGCGGGCGACAAAAGCACTGTGCATCCGCGGCCTCGGCGGAAGGGCCCCTGGGCCGCGGCCGCGAGGACGCGGGGCGCGCTGGCTCGCGGATGCCCCGCGCGCAGCGCATCCGTGGGACTGCGCATATCCGTGGGACCGCGCCCGGGAGTCCAGGCCGCGAGGGCGCGGACACGGGCACGTTCGCCGCTCGCGCTGCGGACCTCTCCCGCGTCGCGAGAGCCCGGGAACCCATGGCAGGCGTTTGCTCCTTGTCGGCCTCTGGGGGCCCTCTCCGGGCCCCAGGCCGGCAGGTCGCGACGCGGGCCGCAGAGCCGATCTGCGGGGGAGTGGGTCAGGACCTCGGGGGGGGGGGGCCACGTCGTGAAGGCAAGGGGGAACCTCTGGGGGCCACGACGTCGGGGCGCTGGTCGGCGGCGAGCGAGGGGGGGGAGGTGAGAAGGGGCGGGCATGCTTGGAAGGCTCGGAGGTCCCCCCGGCCTTCTGAGAAGTTTTCTGAGCCTTCCGCGAAGGCACAAGAAGACTTCCAGAAGGGCAGAGGGCTCCTGAGGAGCCCCGCCGCCTTCTGAGAAGGCCTTCTCTACAGTGGGGGCGCGCGTCAAGAAACCACATGCTTCTCGTCAGGGTACCCTGGGTTTCTTCGCTCGCGCGCTGCGTGGTGACTTACCGCAGCCGTTGAAGGAGCTGCTGCGTTCAGGGTGCTCCGGGTTTCCCCTCAGGTGCATCCCGCGCGTGGGTTTTCAGGGTTAGGTTTCTTGCGGCCGCACCCGCGCTGTACGGCGTGCTGGGGCAGGCGCTCCCGCCCGGACACGCGGCCGGGGTCCGATGCGGGGCCCCAGAGGCCGCACCGCACCGCACCGGCGGCGCGGCGAGCTGTGCCCTGAGATGCTACATTCAGTGCGGACCTGTCCCTCTACCAGGGGGAATGTCCAAAAATAATCGAACCCGTTACGGGTACGATTTTTCCATGATTTTTGCATATGGTTGAGCATGTCTGGGCTGTTTCCCATTTTTCGCACAGTCTCCCTATAGGAGGACATGCCCGACCTTATCCTACATCGCGAAAAAGGTGCAACGTCGTGGCCAACCGCGACCAGAGCCCTCGACCCCATCTCTCTGCGGCGTCTGTCGAAACGAATGGATCCGTGAGGGTCTTGGTCAAGCAGAGGCCAGCGTCCTGGCTCGCCTATAGGCCCACCAGAGAATGTTCTAAGAACCTTTTGTTGTCTGCACGAAATGTTCTTAGATCGAACGTTTCTGGCTGGGTCTGTCTTGTTTTAACTCCTCGGGGTCATGTTCTGAAAACATTGTTTTTGCTCGGAACATGTTTGGGTTCTAACAACATGTCGTGGTAGGCCTATATGTACATATATATATATATATATATATATATATATACGCCGGGACGGTCGGTCCCTGCTCAACTTGGTGCCCGATCTTTCTTGGGCGAGAGCGCCAGGCGTGGCAACAAATTGCAACGCTCGAGTCCTGCGGCGGAGCGGTTCTCGCCAGCCATCCCGAAGTCGCCGAGCGCTGGGTCGGTGCCTCGGCTGTTGCGGCGCGAGGTTGTCTGTGGGGCCGTCCTGCGCGGGGCCCATTTGTCAGGAGCGAGAGGAGGACGCAGTTACGTGTAACCCAGTTCTGGTGTGTTCGGAGAGTCTGCGTTGCGCGAGCGTTCGTAACACGGGGCTGGCCTGGCGGACTCGGGGTTCGTATCCGTGTGCGTGGCGGGGCGCGTACGGTCGGACCAAGGCATGAGATCGAGGTCGGCTCGGGGAGGTGCCCTCATGGTCTTCGTGCTTGTTCAATGTGCTTGCGCATCTTTGGGGAAGGGTGCCCTCGAAGGGATGTCCTCTGGTTGGGGCCTGCGGAGGGCCTCGTGCTCTTGGAGGAGGCTCATCTGTCCTGGGTCCGACCGTTCGCAGGAGGAGGAGGAGGAGGAGGAGGAGGAGGGGGAGGAGGAGGTGTGGGCTCCCTGACCTGGGAGGGCCCCAGGTCCTGGGCCCGGGCGGGCACGCCCTGCTGGGCCTCGCTCGGCGCGGCGCCGTCGACCTCGGGCGGTGGCTGGAGAACGGCGTGAGGTCCGTGATCCTCGAGGGCCCGCCAGGTGCCGGAGAAGGGAGGAGCTGTACAGTGGAGGCCCAGGCCGAGGAGCCCGCTGCTTGCCTCCAGGGTGCCCTGGGGTTCTTGGGCTCCGATGTTTCTGCTATTGGGAAGCGTGGCGTTCCCACACCAACGAAATTCATGGACGTCCTGGGGTCTCAGGGTGGGGGTTCTTGTGGAAGGTTTCTTGTGAGCTAGCCTCCACTGTACACGCACACGCTGCCGGGAGCGCCGTGCGGAGTTCTTTCAGGAGGGGAAAAAACACAGACACAATTAATCGTCGATTCCCCAGAAAATATGCAAACATATGGGAAGTGGAGGGGAAGACAAAAACCCAGAAAACATGTGAAAATATGGGAAATCTTTTTATGTGTGTGTACTTATTTGTGTGTCCCAGGGCCCCTTCATTCTTGGGTCGGCGCTGCCCCCCCCCCCACCCCCACCCTCCCTGGCGCCGCCTCCAGGGGCTGGCCCCCTGGCGCGCCCCGCTTGCCAGGGAGGGGAGGGGGCAGCGCCGATGCGAGAAGTCCGCACGGACCTCCGAAGTCTTGTGTGTTATCTGCGTGCTCCGAGTTTCTTAGGGAGCGTCGGGGGGGCGTGATCCCCCGCCGACGGCCCCACATCGACCCCCGTCGCGGGCAGCCACCGCACGCCGAAGGCGCTTCGACCCCCGTTGCGGCGCGACGACGAGGCGAGGTTGACCCCCGTCGGAGGGGTAGCCCCCACGCTTATTAAGAAACCCAGAGTAGCTGTTTCTTCTTTTTCTGAGGCACGTGCTCGCTGTCACTCTACGAGCGGGAGGACCTCGACGGAAGACATACAATGGCCATGACCAAGATGACTGGGGATCTTGTCGCTGCAGGTCTTGATCATGGTCCATGCCCGCCGTTGCCGTTTCGGGCTGGTGCTCCAGGAATGGACGACCACCAAGACGGGCGATGACCGAGATCGATGCCGACGTTTCCCTGGCCATGGCCAAGAAACCATTGCATAAACATAAACTTTCGGAACTCCGCGCATATGTCATGGATCTGCGCTGGACACCCCTGGCGCACTCCGCTCCGCCCCTTGGGGAGGGGGTCCAACGCCGATCCCAGAAATCCGCGCGGCAGGTCGAAAGTTTATGCTCAGGCAGTCCGTGCTTTTCTGATTATTGCCTTCTGCCGCGCGCGGAGGGGAGCAGGGGAGGGGGGAAGGCTTCTTGGGAGCACCCCTGCCTCCGAGAGGCCCTCCCCCCTTCCCCGACCCCCTTGTGCGCGCCGCCGATTCGCTACCCAGATCCCCGACATCATGATTCCTGGGGGAGCGTCGACCCCCAGAGGTCTCGACCCATTCCCTGGGGTTAAGTCGGGCCTGTCCCTCTACAGGAGGAATATTCAAAAATAGTGCAAAAATAGTCTGGGGACTATTTTAAACTATTCTGTGACCATTTTGGAATACTTTTTGACAATTTTTAGTTTTTCGTCGAATATGCCCCTGTAGGGGGACGCGCCCGACTTGACCCCAGAGGTTTCGACCCGTTTTCAGGGACCGGTTTGTCCTCCCGAGGTGCCGTTTGACGGTCCCCAGGACCGGCGAGGGCCCCTGGAGACCGACTTAACAGCGACGTAGACCTCCGGACCTGCTCTTCTCTGAAGTCGGGCCTGTCCCTCTCCAGGAGGACGATTGAGAAATAGTCAAAAAATAGTCTGGGGACGATGGTTAGATTTTTTCATAAGGTTGATAATGTTTTTCGTATTTGCGATTCTTCGTGCATCATCGGCCTGTAGGGGGACATGCCCGACCTAAATCTCCTCATGACTCGAGGGGGTCTGGGCCCAGGACCGGTCCGGGTGGCGCGTGGACCTGGGGCCTGGCCGCTACACGGCCTGCTTCCTGCAGGCGCAGTGGAGGGTTTCTCCGAACGGCGTAGGCGACCCGTCCTCCTCCTCCGCCTCCTCCTCCTCCTCCTCCGCCCCTCCTCTCCTCCTCCTCCTCCCCCCTCCTCCTCCTCCTCCTCCTCCCCCTCGTCCGGTCCCCTACGGCCCCGGGGGAAACCGTGCAAGGCGCAGGGCGTGCCGCCGCGCCCCCCGGGGTACGCGCACGTCGGCCCGTGGAGCGAGGCGCTCAGCGCGGGCATCGCCCTGGCCGTGCCGCGGTCGGCCCACGTGCGGCGTGGCCCAGGCAGCCAGGCCTTCCAAAGCTCGGCCTCGCGCGGCCACGCGCAGAGAGGGCAGCCAGGCCTGGAGGTTTCTCCGAAGGGCTTAGGCGGCGTCCTCCTCCTCTCCTCCTCCTCCTCCTCCACCATCCTCCTCCTCCTCCTCCTCCTCCTCCTCGGCCCTCCTCCTCCTCCTCCTCCTCCTCCTCCACCTCCTCCTCCTCGTCCTCGGGTCGCCTACGGCCCCAGGGGAAACCGTGCAGGGAGGCCCATGCCAAGAAGCACCCTATGTGCCTTCAGAGTGCCCTGGGTGTCTGGGAGTAGATGGCTGTGCTGTGGAAGGCGTGACGTTCCCGAACTAAAAGCCATTAACGTCCTGGGGTCTCAGGGTTGGGTTTCTTGGGGAAGGCGTCTTGTGGTCGGGCCTCCACTGTATTGGGGAGAGGGGAAGGCTTCTCAGAAACACCCTGCTTCCCAGAAGGCGCGGGCCTTATCTACAGATGTTGTTACGGCTTGCGCCTTCTAAGAAGCAGCCTCCTTCTGAAAAGCCGCTCCCCTCCCTACCCCTTCTTGCGCACGCCGCCAACTCGCGAAAGAGTGCCCGCTCGCCAGAGTGACCTGTGGTGCGGGCCCACAGGACAGGGGTGCCCCCGAGCACCGGCCTGAAGCAGCTTGTGCTCGCTTGACTGTGGCCCCCTCTCGCCCCCCCCCCCGCAAGCCGCGCACCAAAATTCACCGTTGCCCAGGATCACTCTTGCGTGTAGCCGACTCCCGAACTCGGCGGGGCGCCCCAGGGGGGAGCGCGAGATGGGGGGGCCCGCCTTGTCGGAGGGCGGCGGGGCTCGTCAGAAGCCTCCAGGCTTTCCGAGGAGCCCTCTGCGGCTTCGGATGGATCCCCGCCGCCTTCCCTGGGCGCGCCGCCAACAAACGGGTTTCGCTGAGCTGGTGTCGGAGGATCGCGCCGCATCGCCGAGGCTATCGGCGATGCGGCTCGATGTGGAGCCCGACATGTTCTCCACCCCGACGGCGCCGATGCTTCGGCGGACGTCGCCGATGCATCGGCGAGCGATCGCCATGGGATTAGTCGGGTCCCGATGGAAAGGGGTCCTAAGAATTCGCGCCGTGTTCGGCCCCCCCGGGCCCTCCACGGGCTCCGACAAAAGACCCAGAGGACTCAGGGGTGGAAGAAACACACAGGCACACACACAATTCATCGTCGATGCCCCGGAAAAATTACGGGGAACTATGGGAAGTGGGAGGGAAGACGAAAACCCAGAAACTATAGAAAAATATTGGGAATCTTGGGTAGTTTGTGTAGTCACTTGCGTGTCTGTTGGCCCCCTGATCCTGGGCTTCCAATAAAACGACCCAGAGGATGCAGAGCTGGTCCCCGGGGAGGTCCCGGGGGTCCAGAGGACCCGTCCCCCGCGGAAGCCGATGGTCTCCTTGGCATCGCTCCCGGGCGGTGTGCGTTGCTCTAGGCGTGGCCAGCGCCGGAAGGCCTCGACCACCTTGGAACATCAAGGAGTCGAAGAAGAAACAAACACATAACGATACACATTTAACAAGTTTCAAGTCTATAAACATCGAACGTACACAAAAAAATCTAACAAAAAGGTCAAACAGAACACAATTTCCAGAAAAGCACCATACACATAAACTGTTGGTGCTCCGCGCGGGTTTCTTGGATCGGCGCCTGGGCCCCCCCTGGCGGCGCCTGCGGCGCCGCCCCTGGCGCGCTCCACGCGCCATTGATGGGAGTCCAGCGCAGATCCAAGAAATCCGCGCGGAGCGCCAGAAAGTTTCTGCCCATGGGGTTTTTCTTCTTCTGGGGATACCCGTGTTCACCTCGAGAAGGGAAGCACGCACCAACCAGCACAGTGCACGGGGGTTGAAGGTCCGAGCGATGGCAAGCTCCATGCTCGATCACCCAGCAGAGATGAACCCCTGACCCCCAATAGCACGGTGAAGACGTGGCCTCACCGAGGCCCCCGTCTTCGCAGTAGGGATGATCGGTCTTGACGGTTTGGTCCGAGGAGCAGACCCCCCTACGGTGGGGGCGTGGGTGGAGGAATGTGCCCAGAAGGCCTCAGACCCTGGAGGGTTCCTTCTCTGAGGAGCTAGGGCGGCGGTGATAGTCATGGTCACTCCGCGATTGGAGTTCACCGTCTTCCGGACCCTGGATTCCTTGTCCAATGGCTCCCTGTCCGATGCCCTCACCGTTTCCCTGATGTTCCTGGCCCTCCTACCCCAGGTCCCCCCCCCAAAGGGGTTAGGGGTCCTTGTATGAGCGTGTTTCTTTATCGCTTGGGGCGTAATGGGCATTAGAACCTCCAACCCCCACCTCCCCCTTCCCTATAACGTAACGACCCTCCCCCCCCCCCCCAAGTGCGCTCTGGGCACTGCCGCCTTGCGCATCGGGCACACGGCGGGGGGGAGGCGTTACATCATACCCCCCCCCCCGGCCCTCTCCCCCTCCCCGCCACAGTGCCCATGATCGCCGAAGAGAAAGGAACGCGCCCTGTTCGGGCCGGGCGAAAGGGGGGGATTGGGAAAGGGGGGGTTACGAAATTTGCTGCGTGCAGCTGGTTTCGGCCTCACCGAGGGGCCCATTCCTCGATACATGGGCGCCTCCGGCGCCGGGAGGCGCCGGGAAAATCAGCTACGCGAGCTGATTCTCAACCCCCTCCTTTGCTATCCCCCCCTTTCGCCCGACCCGACCTGTGCCGAACCACTCGAGGCAGGATCGCGCGCACGAACTCGTTCCAGCACTTCGAGCTCGCCTTCGCGCTGCGGGCGCCCCGCGGGCGGGCCTGCCCCGCGGCGGCGCCGCTCCTCGAGGTGCGCACGTCGGGCCTCACGGCGCGGGGCGAGCACTTCAACGCCTCCGACGGCGACGCCATGCGAAGGCGGAACAGCCGCAGAGACACACACCTTAGGCGATGCTGAAGAAAACCCAAGTTTTCGGCCAGAGTCTCGATTATTCTTAATGTTTCAATGTAAATCCGAACATTTGAATCGACATGTTGGGTTTTTATTCAAGTTCTGAGACTATGTGTTTCTTGACCCATGATTTCTTAAGCATTTCGCAGGGTGTACACATGGTTCATTTCGACTTCTTCGAGAGCTCGTTGATCTCTTGGGGGGCCAAGAGCCTTTCGTTTCTGCTTGTTCTCTCCTGGGCCTCTTCATGGCCACTATGGGGCCAGGAACCATTAGAAAGGAGCACGATTAGAGATGAACACGAGTAGGAATTAACTTAACCACGTGTAAAGTGGAGGCCCATGTGAATTGGGCCGAACGAAAGAAGTGGATAGGGAAAGGGGGGGGGCTACGAAATCTGCTGCATGCAGCTGGTTTCGGCCCCGCCGCCGGGCCCCTTCCTCGATACACGGGCGCCTCCCGGCGCTGGGAGGCTCTGGGAAAACCAGCTACGTGAGCTGATTCGCTACCCTACCCTTTGCTATCCCCCCTTTCCGTTCCCTACGAGTTAAGTCGGGCATGCCCCTCTACAGGAGGAATATCCAAGAAATGCCAAAATATAGTATGGGGACGATTTGTTGAGCATCTGTTTCAGCTATGTTTGCATCTGTTTTGACCAGTTCTCATGTTTCCTCCAAAATCCGCCTGCAGGAGGACATGCTGCTGGACCCAAGCCAGGAAACACCCTGATTTTGCCTCCAGTGGCCTGGGTTTCGATGCTTCCGCGATGGAAAACAGGAGGCTCTCGCACCAGAAAAATCAAGGGACGCCCTGGTTCTCAGGGTTGGGTTTCTTGTGGAAGGTTTCCGGTGGTCGGGCCCCCACTGCAAACTTTCGACGCTCCGCGCGGACTTCTTGGAACTGCGCTGGGGTCACCCTGGTGGCGCCTCCAGCGCCGCCCCCTCGCGCCAGGGAGGGGGGTTCAGCGCGGATCCAAGCAATCCGTGCGGAGCGTCAAAAGTTCATGGTCATGCAGTTTTTCCATCTTCTCAGCCATGGCCGCCATAGCGTCGCGCCTGGGCCTGGCCAGCGCAGAGGAGCTGAGGGGCGCCATCGTGAAGCCCGTGCTGCAGGTTCTACTGAAGCAAACATTTGCTTTGCATCGCTCGGACGTGTGCATCCCTTCTCGGCGAGGATCATCGAGGAGCCTTCTAGGTCACCTTTCGAAGAAGTGGCCACACGCAAGGAGCCGAAAAATGCAGGGGGAATGGACGTCCGAGCGATGGCGAGCTGAAGGGAGCATCTGAGACCGCGTCTCCATGCGGTGGACCCGAGACGTCCGTTACGGTTAGGGACGGTCGCCCCCACCGCGGGGGCCCGTTCCCCCCGCGGGCACGGCGCGGTGCTCACGGGCATTCTGTGGAGTTCACAGGCGTGCGTTGGTGTTCGCATGTGTGCTTTCGTTACCTTGAGGGTCGTGACGCGCGTCATGCCGCCCCCTTCCTCCCCCCCCCTCTCCCTCCCCCTATATGTGCGGTCCTGGCACTGCTGCAGTGCGTCCGGCACCACACTCTGTGGTACGGGACCCACACGGCGGGGGATGGGGGAGTTACGTTATGTTCCCCCCCTTTCCCCCCTCAAAACGCCTTTTATCACTGCGGGTAGGTTACTCGACGCGGATATTCCCGCTTGCGCATCTCATAATAGCATATTTCTGCCACGTCTCGCGGAGGAACTCCGTCTGTGAACATCTGGGTGTGAGATCGAGTCAGCCTAGACGACTGGCGCGACAACGACGACGACACCGACGACTTCAGTGACGTCCTTCTTCTCCTGGGCATCTTGCAGCAGAGATGAGAAAAGTGCAGGTGGAAGAGCGAGGGGCCCTTGGATCACCAAAAGGGAGAACACGGTAATTACGTGAATATGTGTGTGTGTGGTTGATTCGAGTGTGAGTGAATCTGTACGTAAGTGAGCCCGGGCATGATGAAGTTTGAATGTGAGTGAGTCTAGGTATGAGGAAGTATGAGTGCAAGTGGGGTTGATTCTGCGTGAGGCTGAGTATGAGTGAGTCTGAGTGCGAGTGGGTCTAATTGGGAGTAAGGGTGAATGTGAGTGGGTCTGAGTATGAGTTTGCTGCAAATGAGTCTCAGTTTGAGTGGGTCCGCGTACGAGTGAGTCTGAGTATGAGTGAATTTGCGGATTGGTGAGTCTGAGTGTGAGTGGCTCTGAGGGCGAGTGAGTCAAGGTGTGAGTCAGTCTGATGAGTGGCGAGGAAGAGGGAGGAGGTAAAGAGGGAGCAGGAGACGTTTGAGAAATAACAAGTAGCCCATCATAGGACGTGGGGAAACTCGTCCCAAGCATGTTGTGTTAAGTCGGGCGTCGCCTCCTGCAGGGGGATTTTGGGCGAACAGTTCAAAATAGTCCCAACATGTTCAAAACTATTCAGAACTCCTCAGACATAAAACAGCAAATAAGCATTATGGAAAAAAACGTCCCCAGACCATCAATGTTTTGATGTTTGAATGTTCCCCCTGTAGAGGGGCACGCCCGACCTGAATGCTGTGGCGCTCGCAGGCCCCTCCCTATCCCCCCGCCCCCCCCCCCGGAGCGGACGCTGCGGGAGGGACAACGCCAAACACCACGTCCCATCCGTATAGCCACGGCCTCGCGCGCATGGGGCCCTCCTGGGGCCGCAGAGCCCGACGGATGCGGGGGGGGCCTCTCGCGGGTGCCCCGCGCGGAGCGCCTTCCTGCGACCGCGCACGCGGGATCGTTCCCCAGAATTCGGTCGGGCCTGTCCCTCTACAGGGGGAATGTTCAGAAATAGTCAAACATAGTCTGGGGACGATTGTTTGTATGTTTGTTGTACCTGTAGTGCATTTTTCTGCATACTTCGAATTTTTCATCCAAGCTCCGCCTGTGTGGGGACATGCCCGACCTAACCCTCGAATTCTGAGCGCGAGGGCGTGGATGCGGATGTGTTCGCCGCTCGTGAGCAGGTGTGGCTGCTGCCCTCTGGCGGTGCCGGCGGTCCTCCTGGGACCAGCCAGGGGTGCGCCCTGAGAGTGAGCCTGGAGACCGAGAACTTCCCGCTGTCTGACCACCTGGAGTGCGCTGGAGAGCACGGCCTGGCCTTCGGGCTCGCCCCTCGGAACGTCGTGATCTCCTTCAGCAGCGACTCTGTGCTGGAGGCCACGGTCGACGGCGATCAGCACATGCGCTGTGGGCCAACGCAGCGGTCCCTGAAAGCACAGCGCAACGTGGACGTCTTCCTCGGCAGCCGCTTCCTCGGCCTTGCGCCCCCGGCATCCGTCGCGCTGTCGGGCCTTCGCTACCGGCTGGTGGGGCCTCGAGGTCCCTACGCCCTCCAAGGCCAGAGCAGAGCAGGCATCCCAGATGGGGTCCGAGCAGATGGGCTCGGAGGATCGCGCCGCATCGCCGAGGCACCGGCGATGCTGCCCGATGTGGACCCCGAGTATCTTCACGCCGACGGCGTGGATGCGTGGCCGACGTTGCCGACGCGGTCGCGATGGGGCGCGACCCTCGGACCCCATCCTTTTTGGACCCCAGCTGGGAGGCCTCCACACAGGAGAGGAGGGGGGAGGGGGCAAAGGCCACGGCGCTCGGGGTGTTGTGTTACCATTAAGTCGGGCCTGTCCCTCTACAGGGGGAGTATTCAAAAATAGTCAAACAATAATATGAGGATTGTTTTCCATTAGTCTTTGACCATTTGGGAATATTTGTTGAGTATACTTTTTCTTTTTCGCACAAAAATTTCCCTGTAGGGGGACGCGCCCGACCTAACCCTAGGGGGGAGGGGGGAGGGGGCAAAGGCCACGGCGCTAGGGGCGCCGTGCTACCGCGGCGAGATCTCTGCGTACCCACCGGCCCCCTGGCCAGGCCCCTCCTCGGCCCCCTGGGAGCGTCGTGTGCACGCCTCCCCGGCCAGGCCACCGGGGGCGTATGTCACGCCCCCCCCTGGGCCCAGGAGGACTGGTCCGGCCGCAGGGCGGGGCAGACATGCGCGGGAGGAGCGCGCGCGCCCCCCCCCCCTCGCCCTCCCCCCCCCCTGCCCGCCCCCCCCCCCCGCCCCCCCGTGCCCTCGTCGTTCGGCTGTCGCTCGTCGTCTTCGCCCTCGTGTCCTGCCGTCTAAGGCGTGCGGGCCCCTCTACAGGAGGAAAAGTCCCAAAGAGTCACACGATAGATAGGCTGGGGACGATTTTTTCATTTTTTTGTTGATTGCTGTTGAGCATCTTTTACAAGTTGTCTCCACAGATCCGCCTGTAGGGGGACACGCCCGACCTGAGCCCTGTCGTGTCTCTGTTCTCTGCGGCTGGGCTCCGCTCTCGCCGGTAGGAATCGAGTGCAGACCTCGTTGCCTTTTTTTCTCGTGCCATGCGGGCGAGGAGAAGAGCCCCCCCCCCGACGTCTCGCCACGTCCTGCCCCGTGTACACCCTAGGCGATGCTTAAGAAAACTTAATGTCTCGATTATTCTTAATGTTTCAATGTGAATCCTAAGATTTCAATCGAAATTCTAGGTTTTTATTCAAATTCTGAGACTATGAATTTCTTAACCCATGATTTCTAAAGCATTTCGCAGGGTGTAGTCCAAGGCCTCCGATGGACAGTCCTGTTCGAGCCGCGCGGCCCCCAGAGGCCCGCCCGTCGACCGCTCTGCCCTGGCGAAGGGCTGCCTCACGGACCCGTCTCGGGTGGCCCCAGCTGGGCTCGCCTCGATGCCTGCGGCTCGATCCGGCATTCGATTCCCGCGGCCTCCGAGTCCGATTCGAGTCCACTTCGGACTCCGATGTGGGCTCCGATTTCTCAATGGAGGGCCACGCGTTGTGCACTTCGAATTCTTCGAGAGTTCTTTGATTTTCTGGGGGGGGCAAGACCCTTTCGTTTCTGATCGCTCTGTCCTGGGCCTCTTCCTGGCCACCAGGGGGCCAGGAACAATTTTGAAACGAGCACGATGAGTAATGAGCACGGTTAGAAATGAGCGACGTGTACACGCCTGCCGATTTCCGCCGATGCGACTCTCTTGATGGGTGTGTTTTCCACCACCACCACCATAGGTTGGAGGGGGAGGGGGTCCTCCTCCTCCTCCTGCTCCTCCTCTTCGTCTTCCTCCTCCTCCTCCTCCTCCTCCTCCTCCTCGTCCTCCTCCTCCCCCCCCTCTGACTTATGGTGGTGGTGGTGGTGGAAAACATGCCCATCATCTCCCAGGCTCGGCTGCCGAGTTTTCCGCCGAGCCGATGCGTCGCTTCGTTCGCCGCGAGCGGCTTGCCGGTGCGAGAGTCTGGGCCTGTGCTGCCCTGGGGCCCCCGACGCCTCGCTCGCGCCCTCTGCAGGAGGAATAGACTGTGACTGCTTTTGTGACTGCTTTTGATTTTTGTTTGACTATGTTTCATGTGTTTCATATATGTATATATATATAGATATACAGCATAGACCACCCTTCGGGTGATAAGGAGGTGAGGGGGGGGGAGGGACCACCGTCGCACTCGATCGATCTCACTATCGATCTCACTATCGATCTCATTATCGATCTCACATTCGATCGATCTCACAATCGATCTCACTATCGATCTCACTATCGATCTCGCATTCGGTCTCACTATCGATCTCGCATTCGGTCGCACTATCGATCGCCATATCGATATCACAATCGATCTCACAATCGATCTCACAATCGGTATAACTGTCGATCTCACTATCGACACCACTATCGATTTCATTCAATCGATGTCACAATCGATCTCACTATCGATCTCACAATCGGTATCACATTCGGTCTCACTATCGATCTCACTATCACAACCGTTCTCACAATCGATCTCACTATCGAACTCACTATCGAAGTCATTATCGATCTCTCGTTCAGTCTCACTATCGATATTACAATCGATATCACAATCGATCTCACATTCGGTCTCACTATCGATCTCACTATTGAACTCACTATCGATCTCATTATCGATCTCACAATCGGTCTCACTATCGATGTCACCATCGATATCACAAACGATCTCACAATCGATCTCACATTCGGTCTCACTACCGA